AATGGGGGAATTGGGGGAAATAATGGGGGATTTGAGGAAATAATGGAGGGATTGGGGGAACAATGGGGTACAACGTCCCCCAACCATCCGCATGAGGCTGTCCCAAATGTCGCCCCCAATCCCCATAGCTTTGTCCCCACACAATCCCAGTGTCCCCAGTGCCCCTTGGTGTCATCCCCACATGTTCCCAACGTCCCCCACCACCCCCACAGGGCCGTCCCCACACACTCCCAGTGTCCCCAACCTCCCTCCCACCCCCACGGTGTCATCCCCACATGTTCCCAACGTCCCCCACCACCCCCATGGCGTTGTCCCCACGCGCTCCCAATGACCCCAATGTCCCCCCCACCCCCTCGGGATTGTCCCCTCGGGTTCCTGGTGCCCCCCACTGCCCCCGGGGCCTCTCACATCGTTCTCGGAGGTGCCGCAGATGTTGCAGCACTTGCACTCGATGCACTGCCAGCGGTACGTCTTCACAGCTGCCATCATCACCGGGGTGAACTGCAGGCACGAGGGGTGTCCTGTGGGGAGGGGGACAGCGGCGTGAGGGGACACACAGACACCAAGCCCACAGGAGATGAGCCGTGTCCACATGGGGAACCACGGTGGGAAAGGGCTGGAGATGTCTATGGATGAGAATCCCGATGGGGAAGACACTTCTCAAGTGGATAACCATGGTAGGAAAGGTCTGGAGATGCACATGGATGAGCATTCCTCCAGGAAAGACCCATTTTTGAGAAGAAAATCACAATGGAAAAGATTTGGAGATGTCTATGGATGAGAATCCCGATGGGGAAGACATTTCCCAAAGGGAGAACCTTGTTGGGAAAGGTCTGGAAATGTCTATGGATGAGAATCCCAATGGGGAAGACATTTCCCAAGAGGAGAACCTTGTTGGGAAAGGTCTGGAGATGCCCATGGACACAAATTCCATCAAAAACGACCCATTTTTGAGAAGAAAATCATGAAAAAAAGGATTTGGAGTTGTCCATGGATGAGAATCCCAATGGGGAAGACACATTTCAAAGGGATAAACATGGTAGAAGAGGTCTGGAGATGCCCATGGATGAGCATTCCTCCAGGAAAGACCCATTTTTGAGAAGAAAATCACAATGGAAAAGATCTGGAGCTGCCCAGGGACACAAATCCCCACAGGGAAGACCCTTCTCCACGTGGATACCGCGTTGGAAGAGCCACACTGCTCACCCGATCGGCCGCAGTCGGAGCACGAGACCAATTCCTCGGGCTGCCCCGTCTTCTTGTTGATTTTGGAGTCCCCCAGGCAGAAGTCACAGTAATTGTTGGGCAGTGCCAACCCATCGGGGCCCTTCTTGGCTGGAGGGAGGAAAAACAGTGGGAAAAAGCTTAATTTGGTAGAAAATGTGAGAGGGGGGAGGTGGGAAATGCTTTTGGATGTCCTCGTGTGGCAACGCCAAAGCTTTGGGGTGTTGCTTGAAAGGGGTCGGGGTGGTGTGGGGGGTGTTTGGGTCAACCCTTCCATTTCAAGCAACCCCAAATCCTCAACCAACCTCGAAACTTCAAACTCCAACACATTGACCAACCCCATCAACCAACCCCAAAACTTCAACCAACCCCAATGGCTGAACCAACCCTGAAATGTCAAAATATCCCCAAACTTCAACCCCAAAACCACAACCAAACCCAACACCTCAACCACCCCCAAATCCTCAATCAACCCCAACGTCAACCACAGCCAACACATCAAATCCCAAATCTTCAATCAGCCCCAACGCCAATCACACCCAACATGTCAATCAACCCCAACACCTCAACCAACTCCATCAACCAACCTGTCAACCAATCTCAAATCTTCAACCAACCCCAATGTCAATCAAACCCAACACATCAACCAACCCCATCAACCGACACCAACACATCAACCAACCTGTCAACCAACCCAAATCTTCAATCAACCCCAATGTCAATCAACTCCAACATCAATCAACCCCAACACCTCAACCAACTCCATCAAACAACCTGTCAACCAACCTCAAATCTTCAACCAACCCCAATGTCAATCATACCCAACACGTCAATCAACCCCAACACATCAACCAACCCATCAATCAACCTATCAACCAACCCCAAATCTTCAATCAACCCCAATTTCAATCAACCCCAACGTCAATCAACCCCAACATGTCAACCACCCCCAAATCTTCAACCAACCCCAACGTCCATCAACCCCAACACATCAACCACCCCCAAATCTTCAACCACCCCCAAATCGTCAACCAACCCCAACGTCCATCAACCCCAACACATCCCCAATCCCCAACACATCAACCACCCCCAAATCTTCAACCATCCCCAAATCTTCAACCAACCCCAACGTCCATCAACCCCAACACGTCACCCACCCCCACCCCCCCGTCCCACCCCGTACATTTCTGCTCCTCGGATCGCTGTGAGACGGGGGTCGGGGGCTGTGAGTCGTCCTTGTCGTCGCCCTCCTCCTCAGCCAGATGTGAGTGTGCATAATGGTAGCTCAGCCCCGGGCGGTTCTTGTAGCGCTTCCCACAGACTGCAGACAGAAATGGGGCCGGCTGAGCGCCCGCCTGCACCCAGCAGCACCACGACCCACCCCAGGCCACCTCAGGAACAGCTCTCTGCCCCACTTCTCTGCATTTCAGCCCCATTTCGACTGGTTTTTTTTGCCCTGTTTCACCTATTTTTACCCCGTTTTGTCTGGTTTTTCTGCCTTTTGCCCCTTTTTTGTCCCATTTGGCCTGTCTGCCCCATTTCTCTGGTTTTTAGCCCCATTTTGCCTATTTTTTTTTGCCTTTTGCCCTATTGTGTCCCGTTTTGTCTTTTTTGCCCCATTTCTGCCCCATTTCTCTGGTTTTTAGTCCCATTGCGCCTGTTTTTTTTTGCCGTATTTCATCTGTTTTTTTTTTTTTTGCCTTCTGCCCCCATTTTGTCCCATTTTGTCTTTTTTGCTTTTTTTTCTGCCCCATTTTGCCTGTTTTCACCCTGTTCCACCCATATAAAACAGGTGCCTCCTTTCACCTGTATTTTTTGCCCAATTTCAACTGTTTTTATCCCATTTCATCTGCCTTTCTGCCTTTTGCCCCCTTTTATCCCATTTTGCCTGCTTTCCTGCCTTTTTTCTGCCCCATTTCACCTGTTTCTATCCCACTTCAACTATTTTTTGCCACCTTTTGCCTGTTTTTTGCCCAATTTCACCCTTTTTTTTACCCCATTTCACCTTTTTTCCCCCTTTTTTGCCCTATTTCACTTCTTTTTACCCCGTCCCACCTGCTTTCGGTCCTATGTCACCCGTAGTTACCCCATTCTGCCTATTTTTTGCCCTATTCTGCCTGCTTTTACCCCATTCTGCCTACTTTTTGCCTCATTTCACCTGTGTTTACCCCCCATTCTCCTCTTCTTGCCCCATTCCTCCTGTTATTACCCCATTCTGCCTGCTTTTTGCCCCATTTCACCCACTTTCACTGTTCTGCTGGATTTTAGCCCCATTCCATCTCTTTTTTTGCCCCATTTCACCTCTTTTTACCCCATTCTGCATCTTTTTTGTCCCCCATTTCGCCCGGTTTGCCCCATTTC